ATTAAAACACAGCGTAAACATTCCAAACTACCTATTTTTTAAATAAAAATGCAAACAAATTGAAATTAGATACCTATTTATTAAACAATTACATAATTGAATTCAATGTAATAGCAAGAGGGTAAGTAAACCATTTTCTTACAAAAATCCATTTCTACTTAAATCATGTAGCTAGGTATTGTCAAATTATTACTGCTTCTAAAAGTAATAATAATTATTGTACATTTAATGTAATCTTTAGCTAATAAATAAATGAGATTCTAAAAAAGTGAGGTTAGGCCGCTTTCATGTTGAATTAAATTGACCTATATAAAGTGCTTTGAAGATAAAATGTTGTATGCCATTCGGCCAAGAAGTGTCTTTTTGTGCTTCGCTCAATTGTAGGCCTCCGCTACGCGTCGGCCTTCAAACTTTGAGCTTAGCACAAAAAGCCTTACTTCTTAACGTAATGACATAAATAACTGTTTATTAATCGCTTACAAAATTAGTATCATTATCATTGCATGTACATTTTTCTGAGTGTTCAACTAGATCGCCATGGATAACTTGACAGAATAAATTTTTGATATTATTGTTCATTTTTAATTTGAATACAAAATCTTACCTACTTAAAAATTTTCAATAAAATTTAGTAAAGGGTCGTTTTGATGGGTGGTGTGCATATATATTTTTTAAATCGCTAATATAAATTTTTAAAAATTTAATCTCTAAAACTGACATAGTAGGCCTTGTATTTTGTAAAAATATGGTGTTATTTGCTCCAAAAATATAGTTTATCAAGATTAACAACAAATCCGGTTAAAATTGCACAATAAATAAAAAATTTACAGATATATTTTCCCAGATAAAATTGCTTTTTAGTGGAGGAAAATATTTATTTAGGAAATTGGTTTAAAAAGCATTAAAGTTTAAACAGGTTTAAGTAGGTCATTTAGTTTTATTTTTCATGAAAATGCAGAGGTAATATTCCTTTTGGTAAATTAAATGAAAAAATAAATAAAAATAAACAACATTAAACTGGATGGATTTTAACTTGTACTGTAATAAGATTCATTATAATACAAATTTTTCATTACGATTTTGAACCAATAGAAATGCGATACAGTATACAGGTATACCTTTCGTATACGAAACATTTCGGAATTAAAGTGTTAATTTTGTACTTTATTATGGTAGTCGTAGAAAAATAATATATGCAATTGTTTTAAATTGTCATTTTTTGAATTATTTATAAACGGTTTTTTTTTTTAATTTTGATTTTGGCCTATGTCCCAATTTTAGCAGTAAGTAATGATTTCATGTTTTTGCACAAAATTACTATTGCGATATATAGTCAGTTATATTTTTGTAAATTCAACAAATTAACTATTTTTTGTATATTTAGTAGGTATTTTCACTCGAGAAATATTCGTGACGCCACGATGTTATAACAGATTTGTCAAGAATTACGAATGAATCCAACATCTCTGTTAAAATATTTAAATCGTTTAAAAATCTAGGAAAAGTAAAAATTATTATATATTAGGTATTTTAATTTCTGTGAAAAGTTATATATTATTTAATTAATCTATTTTTTTAATTTGGGATATTATAAAATCCATTAAAACAACTTCAAATCAAAATAGTATATTATGTATCAAGTTTGATAAACGCCATTTTATACGTGTGTATAAAAAAGTTTATAAACGAGGTGCATACTATACTTTTTCTACGACAAATACTTATTATTATCTTAAAATGATTTAACTCAAAAATTTGTATAGAGCGCCATCTATGAAACAATAGGGGAAACTGTTTGTCACCGTCAAATGTCACATTTTTTTATTTTATAACACAATAATTATTATCGAAATGTATTTCTTGCAAATTGACAGTTTTTCACAGTGAAAGTAAAGAAAATGTTTTATGAGGACTTTAGAGTAGAGTCCGTGCCCGAATTTAAGTTATAGTTTAGTACAATGTTCATATAAACTTTTCAAATATTGGCGTTGAGAAACTGTTTAATATTTTTGTATTTTTGTATTTAGATAATAAAATAATTTTCACATTTAGTATTATTTTACAAGAAAGGCACTTTATTTTAACGATTGTATGACATTTGACAACTGTCAACTAACTTAAAACTAACTTCAGCCCGTGACTAAAAACCTGTTGCTAACTTCAGCCCGGGACTAAAGCGCCATAAAGCCACAACTTGTCAATGTGTATTTAAAAGGTCACTTAGTGTCGTGGAAACATGTACGATAAAGGGCGTTTTAAAGGGAGTAGAAAAAATCAAAGAATAATTAAAACTAAATTATATAAATTAACCTTATGTAGGTGTTTTTTTTTATTTAAACTTAACCTCATTAATATTTTCCTTAATTCCAGTGTGGAATGTCATCCGAGTTATGCAATGATTTGTTGTATCACACCTAAACCAAAAAATGTGAAGGAATACCAACCAAAGGAAGATATACAAGTCGTTCAAGTTTAAACCGAAAATACTTTTTATTGTCCATTATGTTTCATTTAAATAAAGGTGTTTAAAAGTTCTTCTTGGTATCATTTATTTGTTTTTTTATTTGTCCTGGAACACTAGAAGCTTATAGACATAAAAATACTGAAAATTTAAGCAACAACAAATTTTATTGGATGCGGTGCTGTTCAAATTTTACACCATCAGTTAACTTTTTGTTTGTCCATACATGTTAAACTGAACAAATGTGTAGGATTTGTTAAAAAATCATAAATTGTTTAAATTTAATTTTGAAAGCTTCGTTTAAAGTCCAAGGCTATTGCCACTTTTATAAATTAAAGTCCTTTTTTTTCTATAATATTGTGAATAATATTTTAAAGTTATATATTTTTTGTGATGATGACGCTATAGTTTGTTATTGACCGCAAGAATTAAAAAAGACTAAAGAAATTGGTTACTTTTTTTAATTAAGTACTAAAAATTAACTATTTAAAAGTGAAAATGATTACTTTATTAGTAACCAATTCAGTTACTATATCAAATAACGGAATTTTGACTATTTCCTTAAGAGAGGATAACAAAAATTGCCGTTTTAATTTTTGGATTCTTTACTTTTAATCGGCACCCTTTAGAAATATGAAATCGTGTCAATTTCTTACTCTCTTATAGTGGGCCAGAACTTTTTTTCTGTGACAAATATTGAAATGATTTTAATTTTGTTTTACTGTTCAGTAAGTGTGTTTTCGATATAAATTATTATTATCCAATTAGTTAATCTCATAAAAGAATGGTAAACCACTAAAGATTCATGATAATTTGCCAATTTTTGTGATTTTTGTCTGGCTCCTGTGCCTATTCTACTAAATCTAGAAAGTTTTTTTTTTCAGCTTTCAAGTACTTATACAATAGAAAACGTAACTATTATTTTAAGTTTCTAGACTATCATTTTCTTTATTAAAAAAATTATTGAAACTTGATAATTTTCATAATTAGCAAATTTTGCCCTCAGAAATCATTATGTTGAGGAAAAAATAAAAATCTGAAACTTTCAGGAAATGTAGTCCCCACCTTCATCTTTTCAGACTAGTTAGTCTTGTTTTGTTATTTTTATCCACATAAAAGATATAATAATTTTTTTAATGCAGTTAAGAAGCGATATTGTTAGTTTTATTTATAATTTAAAATTTAGATGGCTTTGACTTATTCAATTCATGTTTGGTAGAGAAATGTCAGAACTGTAAAAAATATTTCATAAATATAATTTGTGCGTATTTAAATTGTGATATCAAAAAGTTTGCAAGTTTGCAAGTGTAATAAATGAAAGAGTGTTCGAGATTCATGAATTTAATTGCAATTAAAAATGAAAGAACATATTATAATTTTGTACCTCTTTCTCATAAAAAATAGTCAAGTTCTGAGAAGTTTTAAATTGTTAAAAAAAGCAAAAACCAAAAAATATTCTAAATAAACCCCTTTATTATAACATGTTTTATTTTAACCAGTTACCTAAAAACTAAAATTTAAAGAAGTATTTACAGATTGTTTAAATTTTTTTCCAACACAAACATTTAAAATACATACATACATATAACTTTTAACTATTCAGTGCCTTACTAAAGGGATCAAAATAATAGAAGAAGACTAACTTGGTTTAAATTGTGAAAGAAACCGACAAAAAACTGCTTAACGCATTTTTTATACGTTTAAATTAACTCTTTATTAATTTCACTTATTATACAAAATTTACCAAAGAAATACGCACAAATAATATTTATGAAATATTTTTGACAGTTCTGACACTTCTCCACCAAACATGAAAGCCATCTAAATTTTAAATTATAAATAAAACTAACAATATCGCTACTAAACGGGCATTAAAAAAATTAATATATCTTTTAAAGAAATAAAAATAACAAAACAAGACTAACTGGACTGAAAAGATGAAGGTGGGGACTACATTTCCTGAAAGTTTCAGATTTATATTTTTTCCTCAACATAATGATTTCTGAGGGCAAAATTGACTAATTTTGAAAATTATCAAGTTTCAATAATTTTTTTAAAAAAGAAAATGATAGTCTAGAAACTTAAAATAATAGTTACGTTTTCTATTGTATAAGTACTTTATACCTGAAAAAAGCAACTTTCTAGATTTAGCAGAAAAGGCACAGGAGCCAGACAAAAATCACAAACATTGGCAAATTATTACAAATCTTTAGTGGTTTACCATTCTTTTATGAGATTAACTAATTAGATAATAATAATTAATATTGAAAACATACTTACTAGGCAGTAAAATAAAATTACAATCATTTCAATAATTGCCACCGAAAAAAAGTTTTAGCCTCTTATAAGAGAGTAAGAAAATGACACGATTTCATATATGATACCTAAAAGATCATCCTCAAATTTTTTCATTAAAATAAAAAATCATGCAGCGCACTTTCATTTTTGGTTTTTTCATTTGGATTGACTCAAACGTAAAACTATTTATTCAAAAGAATGTAATTTGCGTAATATTCCAATAAATTTTTTTTATTCTTACCAAATAGTTTTCTTTCTTTTTCTACATCGGAAAAATCCAGGGAACTTTCGGCAAGCGGAACCGGAACTGGCGTCTCGGCGGACACATCGATTGACGGCGATTTGACGTCTGCTTGGCATTTTGCTAACCTCCCCCATGTCCATTCTGCATCAACTGTTATCCACGTTATCAAATCCTCCACTCTTATCACCACCTTTTCTGAGATCGCTAGCACTTCGTCCTGCAAAAAAAAACAATAAAGTTTTTTAGATATTGTATACGAGTGAATCCGATTTCCCCTCCCCAGATGCATTGTAAGCAGATTGCCGGCGTAGGCGACGATTCAGTTATGTTTTGCATTTGCTAGTGTGTATTTCGAGCGTTTTAACATAAATTAAGTTCTTTTATTTAAAATTATAACTTATAATGTCCTACAAATTGCAAGAGAAAATTGACATGATAAGCTGGTCTTTAGTGGGCAATTCTCTACGTCAAACAATAGACCTATTCGCAGTTAAATATCCGGAACGTTCTATTCCTTCAATTGGAACAATAACAAACGTTATCCAAAGGTTTAAAACGAATGGATGTGTTTTGGGGTGTAAATGTCACAGTACCCCCAGAATTGATGTAGATGCGGAGATGAAAGAAATAATGGTTTGTGCAATGGTAGAAGAAGATTCAAATGCATCAATTCCTAAAATAGCCGAAGAGACCGGCATTAGTGTGGGTAAAGTCCACAAAATATTTAAAAAAAAATATCGTTTCTAGAAATACCAAGTACCTACATCAGGAAATTTTCAAGACGACGAGTACCGGAGAATGGAATTTTGTGAAAATATGATGGAACGCGCAAATGAAGATGAACATGTCACTGAAAACATAGTATTTACCGACGTACCGGTACTGGTCTATTGAAAATGAGTATAGGCAACCAAACTTAAAGACTCAGTATCCTGAAAAGTTGAACGTGTGGTCTGGTATTTATGGGAATAATATTATTGGTCCCTTTGTAATTGGTGGCAATTTAAATGAAGCGAGATATTTGGAACTTCTTCAAAATAGAATTGTTCCTCCAATCCAAAACATAACCCCAAATTTGGATAACGTTTGGTATCAACAGGACGGTTGCCCATCACATAACACAAGAATAGTGATGGAGTATTTACAAGAGATTTTTCCCCAAAGGATAATGTCTACCAGGGGCGCTATTCGATGGCCAGCAAGGTCGCCAGACTTGGCTCCTTACGATTTTTTCCTATGGGGATATGTAAAATCTACCTTGAACCGTCATAAAAAATGAATAATTTTGTGTCCCAAAAAATTTAAAAAGTTTATGTAGGAACTAAAAAATACTTTTTTTCTACGTATAGAAAAGTTAAAGGGGGCCACATTTTAGGGGATCACCCAGTACAAACAAGTTGGAAAATATGAAAAAAGCCCAATGATGATGCATTTTTAAAAAATTAATTAGTACATTAATTTATAATATATACGAGGTGTGTTCATAAAATTTTCTTTATTATGTTGGTATTGTTAGGTATATGGACAGTGAAATAAAAGATATTATAATTTAACTTTTAAATATTTAATTGTCTTCAGTCTAAGACAACTCGGAAAGCAAGCGTAGAGGAGACTAAAACTAAAAGTGATACAAAATATTATTAGAGCACACACGCCCTATTTCATTCTTACATAAACATATGCAAGCACGTAACATTAACTGTGCTGATATTATAAACAGTAAATCTACGAGGTAAAGATAAAGAAGTTTTATTTAATAATATTTGGTTTAACTAATATATGTTTATATCAGCTTATTCAACACGCCACCTCAAATATTATTCAAATAAGTAAAATTAAAATAACATAAAACTAAAATTATGTTAACATAAAACTACAATACCATGTAACTAAATAACATACGTAAGTTATAACTTAAGAATATAAGTATCTAGACCTGCTTTCCTTATGTTTGTCTTTTCTGGGAAAATTACAATGATGGTCCAGCATTTGCTGTTTAAGATTAGGGAAAACCCAGAAAAACCTAATCAAACCATTTAACTTATTCAATACTTTCTAACCCTAATTCCTTTTTTAATTCTTCAAATCTCAGTGCCGGTAATGATTTTGTAAACATGTCAGCTACTTGCTTATCTGTGGACAAATGTTTTAATTTAATTACACCTTTCTCTACTTGTTCCCTAGAAAAATGATACTTTATATCAATATGTTTTGATCTTTTATGATTTGTTGGATTATTAGCAATACTTATGCAACCATTATTGTCTTCATATATAATGATTGGCTTAGATACATTTAAATTTATACTTATTGCTAATGACTTTAACCAAAGAGCCTCCCTGACAGCTTCAAATAGAGCCATATATTCGGCTTCAGTAGATGATGCCGCTACTGATAACTGTCTTTTTGTATTCCAACATATTACACATTTTTCAAATAATTTAAATAGGTAACCAGTTGTGCTTTTCCTATTTTTTACATCATCACCTCCCCAGTCAGAATCTACATAACCACTTAAGACATTGCTATAATCACATTTAACATATGTTAACCTTAAATTAATTGTACCCTTAAGATATCTAAGGACCCTTTTTAAGCATTGCCAAAGCTCTTTATTATTATTGTTTTGGTACCTGCTTAAAATATTAACAGCAGCACTTAAATCTGGCCTGGTACACAACATAATATACATCAAACAGCCGATAAGATTTCGGCAAGGGCAATCATATTTTACTTCAGAATTTAACTCATTAAAATTTAGTTTACTGGGAAGGGGAGTGCTGACAGCATTACAGTCAAACATATTAAATTTATTTAAAACAGTATTTATGTATGACGATTGATCTAAAGAAATTTTATCATTTATTCTTGTAATTTTAATACCTAAAAACAGTTTAATATCTTTTAAATCAACCATACAAAATTTATTTGCCAAATAACTTTTAAAACTACTCATTGTATCACTATTTGCAGTGGCAATCACAAGATCGTCTACATAAAGAACAACATAAATATTTTTACATATGGCACCTCTGTCTAAAATATAAATACAGCGGTCAACTGATGAATTCTGAAAACCTTTGTCTATAAGAACTTTTTCAAATATTTCAAACCAGCATCTGGCAGCTTGTTTTAGCCCATACAAAGCTTTATGCAATTTACAAACTTGGTTTGGTTTACTTGTGACCCCTTCAGGGACCTTCATATAAATTTCCTCCTTTAATGTCCCATTTAGAAAGGCTGTTTTAACATCCATATGATGTACTAAAAGATTAAATTGATTTGAAAAGGCAATTATAAACCTAAAAGATGTAATTCTTGCTACTGGGGCAAATGTTTCATCATAATCTACCAAGTATTCTTGACTAAAACCACGCGCTACTAAGCGAGCTTTATATCTTAACGGTTTTCCAAATTCATCATTTTTAATCGAAAACACCCATTTGCAGTCCACTATATTTTTATTTTCTGGTCTTGATACCAATGACCACGTTTTGTTTAACAAGAGGGAATTTATTTCGTCTTGTACAGCTTGTTCCCACTGAAATGTATCTTCTCTATTTTTAATTTCCTTATATGATAAAGGAATTTGACAAACAACTGATTGAGCACATATAAAATGATCATTTGTCGAATCAGTTTCTTTATAAGAAATAGGCAAAAGATTCTTGATTCTACCACTTCGTCTTAGTTGGGGTTCACACTGAATATTATTATTTGGCCTATCTGTTTTAATTACAGATTTATTACACTCATTATTATTAACCACTGATCTTGACAAACTGTCAGAGGAGTCAGTTTCTTTACCTACTGATCTTGACAAACAGTCAGAGGAGTCAGTTTCATTACCTACTGATCTTGACAAACAGTCAGAGGAGTCAGTTTCATTACCTACTGATCTTGACAAACAGTCAGAGGAGTCAGTTTCATTACCTACTGATCTTGACAAACAGTCAGAGGAGTCAGTTTCTGGCCTGGACGATAAAAAAATTTGTCTCATCTACAATAACATCCCTTACTATAACAAACTTATTGTTATTCACATCCCACACTTTATACCCATTTGGTTCAAAACCAACTAGTATAGCTTTCCAGGATTTATTGTCAAATTTTGTTTTTCTAGTTTTATTATGTACATAAACAGTAGAACCAAAAACTTTTAAATATTTTACTTGCGGCTTTTTATTATGCCACATTTCATATGGTGTTTTTAATTCATTTAATGCTTTGGTAGGGGTTAAATTAATTAAAAATGTTGCAGTTAAAACTGCCTCACCCCAAAAACATTTTTCTAACTTGGCACCAAAAATCATTGAACGAGCTTTTTCAGTAATTGTCCTAACCATTCGTTCTGATACACCATTTAATTGTGGGGTTCGTGGAACTGTCAAATGATAACTTATACCTTTTTGCACACAAAAATCTTTCATTTCAGTAGCCAAATATTCCCCTCCATTGTCACAATATAAATTAACAATTTTTAAGTTAAAATGTGCCTCACTTTTAGCAACAAAATCTTTAAATACAGAAAATACATCTGACTTGTGTGTTATTAAATATGTAACACAATAGTGAGTATATTCATCAACAAAAAGAACAAAATAATTTTTATTATTAACTGTTGAAGGAGTGATAGGACCACATACGTCAGAATGAACTCTATACAAGGGTCGTTTAATATCCCTTTTATCTTTATGTTTTTGGAATGGCAGTCGTGCTTGTTTACCACTTATGCAAGCTTCACATAAATAGTCATTAGGTGTAACCTTATCGATTTCTCCTAAATCTTTTACCATAAGTTTATTTCTTAATTCTAAAAATTTAAATTTGCTTATATGCCCCAAACGTTCATGCCACAATTTATAATCTTTAGTTATATTTGTACTACTATGTGCTTGCACAATACTATTAATTACATCCCTATTAACAATAAATTCAGCAGCAATTAAAGTGGTTAAAAACTTACCCTTAATAACAGGCTTACTGTTTTGGTAAATAGTAGCACCTTTTTCATTAAAAATAATAGTCATACCAGCCTGCTGCATTTTTCTTACGGACAACAAATTGTAAGGGACCTCTGGACAATATAACACATCCTCAAGAATTCCCTGGATACCCATATTACTTGTAACCTTGATGGTGCCCTTTTTGGTTGCTGATAAAACTGTTGAATATATCATCTCGGTTGACAATATGATCGGACGCTCCCGAGTCCAG